AAGGAGTTCCCAGGAGTGCGGAAGGCTGCGGCTCCGAGGGTCCTGGCCGGCCACTCCCCGGAGCACGTCCCACCCCCGAGAGTGACCTTCTGCACCTGCCCGTCTGTCTTCCTCTTCAGCTTCGCTGAGACAGCCCGTCCTTTCCACCACCTGGGCCCGTGCTGGGTTCTGGCAGGAAGTGCCCCGGCGTCATTTGCCCTCTGGTGGGTGTCCTGGACACGCAGGGGGTGTCAGTACCACAAACCAAGGGCTTGGGGGGCGCTCGGCTGGCAGGAGGGTAGAAACAACCGTGACGGGCAAATACCTCTGCCTCCGCCTAGGGGCTCAGGACGGCTCCCGGGCCGGTGCCCTGGCCGCGCCGCTGAGACCCGAAGGACACGGGGGGCGCTAGAAAGGCAGGGTGAGTGGATGTGGAGGTGGAGGAGGAGATGGCCTGGGGGACACCGAGCACCAGGAGCCCAAGGCCCCTGAGAACACAGCCTCCAGGGCAGCGGGAACAGGTTCTTTAGGGCAGGATGCGGGGCGTGGGGAGAGGCTGCGGCTGCAGAGGCTGCGGGGGCCTTGCTCAGGAAAACATCACGATTAAATAGTGCTACATCGTCTGCTGTTTGTTTAGAACAACTTGCTTGCAATTTAGAAATAAGCAGGAAATAATTGCCACCTTCCAGAGATGGTCTAAAAGCGCTGAGGACAGAATCCATCTCGGGAGAGTGAGTCACATGTAAATGTGCGAAACCATGACTCACCCTCCTCCGTCTCCTGCAGATTGTGACCGGGGAGCAGACACTTGTTTGTGCGCTCTCTCCCGAGGCCAGCCCTCGTAGTTGGCGGGGCATGGCAAAGGGAAACATGCTGGCAACAACAAAATATTGTAACATCTTGTTTTGTTGATGTGAGGACGGAAGCTGGAAAGCTTTGCCTGAACGTGAAACTGGACGTGAAGCCAAGGTGTGGATGTTCTTCGATGCTCACACGTCATGAGCGCATGCGGAACCTCTAGCTTCTGAAGGGGATAAAGAGCAGTTTGGATAATGAGCATTGTCTTGTAGCCCCGGCTGGTGGGGCTCAGTGGATGGAGTGCTGGCCTGCGAGCCAAAGGGTCGCCAGTTCGATTCCCAGTCAGGGCACGTGCCTGGGTTGCGGGCCAGGTCCCCAGTAGGGGGTGCGTGAGAGGCAGCCACACATGGATGTTTTGCTCCTTCTCTTTAAATTAAAAAATATATATATTGTCTTTTAGAGTCTGGCTAGGCTACAGAACTGAAAGAGAAGAGAAGACATGCGTGTTTACATACCAGGCCAGTAACATCACATGCACATCTGCTGTTGTATCAGGGGTGGGGGGAAGTCACCCCCCAGGCGTGACTGGAATGTACTCTCCCGGGGACCGAAAGGTGTATACATTTATAAGTTTTTTAGGTTTTAGAAAGATTAGGCAATTCATACATTGTCCCTGTGACACGTCTCCAGGAGCGTCTGCACCCCATCACCTTCTGTAAATATAATAATTTTGCAGTGGCTTTGCTGGCCCAGCCCTGGCACTCACTGGACGGAGCCCAACGTCGCGCCTGCAGCCTGGCCCCGGGGCCAAACCCACGTCAGCGGTCCCTGGGCCACCTGCGGGGGCCCACGGGCGTCAGGCCCCCGATGACTGGGTCTCACCGGGATGTCAAGGACAAGAGCAAGGGGAGCGGGGGTTGGCTGTGGCTTCCTTGATTTTTTAAAACCTGAACGGCCAAGAGAAACAAAGCACAGAGAGGCAGAGCGCACAGACCGTTGCCCGAGAGAGTCGCGCCGCTGTGGTGCGGTGACAGCCCGTGTGAGGACGCGGAGGCGGCCGAGGTGGGGCCGTGTAAACGGGGTCTTCCTTCCCTTCCGCCTGGCTTGGTGGTCCGGGTGCTCTGCGTGCACACTGGCACTGCCGGGGAGGCTGTGCGAACCCTGGTCCACGGGCCGAGTGTGGGACGGGAGAGGACAGATGCCCGTGCTGAGCAGCCTGCAGGAAAAGCCGTCACCGTGACACCGTTGGGAGTGTTCCCGCCCACCCGAGAGGTCGCCTGGCAACTCTTGCCCTCGGCGGTCTATCCAACGCAGTCACGATGCGCGCACTTCTCTCTGCCTTGGTCCCCAACCCGGGCGTCCCGTGTCCGGTCCCAGCACCCATGAGCCTGCGGCAGCCTAGCCTGCTCCTCTGCGAGCCGGGCGGAATCTCGGATTCCACCCCCCCAGTTCTTGCCGGTTACCCCAGTGCTATGGAAGAGCCCCTTTCACTAAAAAAACTGCCAGCAGTATTGCTGAGGTTCACCGACGAGACGTATGTGTTTAATACACAGGGTTAGCAATTTCTGTGCGGATTTTATCACATCCTACGAATTACTGGAAAATTCCGTGTATCTGTAACTTCTCATACCCTAATCTGTAAACGCTCTCCCAGCCCCCTTCCCCCACAAAGGACTTGGGCTTTTATCTGGCCGAATTTATCTGTTGTTCAAGCACTTTGTGATTTGTTAGCTGAAGGCGTACCAGTAGCTTTCTGCAAGCTAAGAAAAAATATAAATACTGCCTATTTATCTGTAGATGAAAGGCCTTCTCCAGAGTCCAGCCGACTCAGCTACTTTGGAGGAATCACTTTGAGTTGGGAGTGGGGGTTTTTTCCGTGTGGGCACACAGCAGCCGCGGCCAGCCCCGCGTGCGTCAGGGCCGGTGGAGGTCCCCAAACGCCTTTCGGTCGTCAGGGGTTGCTTCAGTGCCTTTCCTCCACACCCTGGGAGCGTTTGCAGCGTTTAAAAGACCGAGGGGAAGGGGAGCAGTGCGTGTTTAGAAGGAAAAAACACCGTCGGAGGCAGGTGCGTGCTGCTGCGGGACAAAGCCGAGGCCGTGGCCGGGACCCCGCCAGCACCCCGGACAGACGGCCGCCCGCCCATCGAACGCACTGCCCGCCCGTCGGCTGTGGCCAGACCGTTGGCACGCCCTCATCGAGGGGCTCCGCACGCCGGGTGGGGACTCAGCGACCTTGCCACTGACCCCGGGGAGGACAGGGACTGGCTGACTCTGTCACCTGGGATTGGCAAGACACTTGCAGTGACGAACAGCCTGGGTCCCAGCACCAGGCCCCGGGGCACTTCTCTGTCGAAGGGCATGCCACCGATCTGCGGGGAGGAGCACGCTTTACCGGGGACGTGGCGCTGTTTCCAGGTGCGGGGGGCGAGGTCAGCCGCAGCCGCGGTGTCCTGACGGGGGCGGTAGAGGTGCTCCCTTCACGCCCGAGTCAGCGGGTCTCGAAGGGGTGACCCCCAGAGCAGCTGTCGGAGCACCACCCGGCAGCTGCCCGAAATGCAAACCCCGGCCCCAGGGCCAGAACGAGGCTCGAAAGCCTGGGGCAGCGCCGCCCAGCAATGTCCAGTGACAGTGTCCCGTAACCTCCCCCCGCCCCTGCCCCCGCCCCAGATGTCTCCGAGGTGCGCTGGGGCTCGAGCCTCCCAGGTGCTGCTCACCGTAGGTCAGGTTAGTTTGGTCAAAGTCGGGGAAGAACAAATCAAGAGCCCTGCCATCAAACGCAGGAAAGGACATGGTAGCACTTAAGGAATAAGTCTACAGGTTATTCACGTAAGAAATATGTCTGATGCCTGCCCTGTGCCGGCCCCCGTCAGGAGAGAAGCATGAACAAGCCATTCCACAAACATCTCAGGGTCTAGTGTGGGGGCAGACGGCCCGGAGCCCGCAGGCCAGGCCCAGTTTCCGCACGTGTTTCTAAAATGTTCTCGGCGCGCAGCCACACCTGTCCATCTGTGAGTTGCCCACGGCTCCTTCTAGGCTGCGGTGCAGAGTCGAGAGTTCAGCTAAGAACGCATGGCCCCCAGCACAGAGAACAGCGACTGCCCGGAGCTGTAGTGAAAGTTTGTTGATGCCAGGCCCCGCGGTTCAAGGCACAGAGTTTCGGAGTCGCCATTCGCCAGGGGAGCGAAGGAATGAGCAGGGGGCACAGGCATTCTTGCGTCTGCCTGCGATCTGTCTGCCCAGAGTTTTTATCCGTCCACACAGGACACTCAGCAGCTGGGCGTTGTCCTCCTGGACGGTGCAGAGGCGGACAAGAAGCAGGGCGGTTCGAGGCCCAGCACCTCTGCGAACAAACACAGGAACAGCGGCAGGAAGGAACGTAAAAAGAAACCTTTGGTTGAGGAGTGAGGGTATTATCCACCCAAAGAATGTGCCTTACGGGGAAAACAAAGACAAAGGCGAGCGTGCAGAGCCAGCCTGGGGACACGCAGTCACGAGGCCAGAGGGGCAGGGCGCAGCACCCCAGCGGCCCGGGAGGCCGGGTGGGGCCTGTCCCCCAGGGAATTCTGGGATCTGAGGAAGCAGAAAGCGGGTGGGCTCTCCGGAGGCTGCGGAGGGTCTGCTGTGCGGTCGCTGAGTCGGCACACACCGCGTGCTTCCTGGGACCCGCCATCCCTCGAGTCCTTCCTGCCCTATGTTCTCTCTGCTGACTGGCCAACGGTGTAGAGATGCTGCTAAAAACAGCATTGGGGTCCCTCTGCAGAGTCTGGGTCACTTCCTGGCCTCACCTGGGGCTGTTTGACTCTGGGCCAATCGTTGCCTGGCTCAGGCCCCCCCCACCCCCGTCCTCCCCTCCGCCCCCCCACCCTCATTTGCGAGGTGCTGTTTCAGGCTTCCTCCTGAGTCCGCAGGGAGTCATTCTGCCAACTTGCTGGTCACTAAGAGGCATCGTGGCACCAGGGGCCCACAGTGTCTCTGGCTCCATGGCTCAGAGCAAAAGGAGGGGCGGCCAGCCGACCCCTGGACCCTCCTACAAGGGAGCCCGTGACTAACTCGGGGGGGACAAGGTCATTAGTCTCCCAGGAGAGATTCACTGCTGTGTACGCCTCACTCCTGCCCAGCGAGACCTCCTCTCTGGCCCGAACAGATTGTTTACCGCGGAAACGTTTAGACCGGGGAAACGCCCAGGTGCAGTCTGGTTTTGATTGTATTTCTCCGTCTTGCAGGAGTTTTTCTTTAAATGCGGAGCACACCCGACCTCTGACCAAGAAACGTCCGTCGCTTTGAACCTGATCACGACGAACAGCCGGAACATCACCTGCATAACGTGCGCGGACGTCAGGTGAGGGTCTCAGGCACCGCCGCTCCCCGTGCCTTGCTTTCCCGAGAGTGCGGGACTCCCTGCCCCGCCCCGTGGCGGTTTCTCCTTCCTGAGGGGGTGTGCTTTGCTCTGACGCTGTCTGCCCGACGTGGGCACGACTTAACGGGAAAAGGCTCCCAGAGGCCAGCTCCTTAGCTTGCTCACTAGTCCAGCAGGGTCCCAGGATATATGTGAGAGGACTCATATCTCGAAATAGTGCACTGCTAGTTGTTATTAAAATATAGACACATATATCGGTATCAGTAAAGTCTAAAGTAAAACATGATGCTGGTGTCAGGAATGAAATATTTGTGACACCATTTGTTTTTGGAATGTATGGCCTGTAATGTTTCATTTTTTAAAATGTCTTTTCCATACATTTCGGTTCTCCCGCATATCGATCTGTATGTATATTGGTACGTCGTGTACGTACATTTATACCCCCAAAATGAAAGCGTGTAGCTGGTTTTGGACCTGGGTATTTCTAATCTCAGTGAATACAATGAAAGAAAGAAAATTTGGAGACGGTCTATTACGGGGGTGTCAAACTCATTGTCACCGGGGGCCACATCAGCCTTGCGGTTGCCTTCCAAGGGCCGAATGTGATTTTAGAACCGTGTACATGTAACCGCTCCTTAACCAGGGGCAAGGAGCTCGGTACTGCTGCTGGGTGGAAAGAAGGTGCCGGGCCGGATAAAACAAGGTGGAGGGCCTTGTGTTTGTACGTGTGGTCTGTTAGCAATAAAGGGGGCAAATGACTCGATTTGAATTCCACGTTAGAAAGCCAGGACAAAGTGGACGAACCTGAGAGTATTTAATCTTCAGGGTCGATGGTTGTGAGTAGAATTCCTTGCACTGCGCTAGTCAAATGAACATAGGAAGAGAAGTTAGCTTTATTACGTGTTCTCTGAGGTTGGTTAGAAGAATATTGTAACACGGGGGCCTTGGCCCTGGTATCAGGAAGCGCTTTCATGAAATACCAAAATGAATAAAGTCAAAGAACCGTTTTCGGTCCAGACTTAGAGCGAAGGCAGCAGCCGTGCGCACTGGTCATCCCAGTGCGTGTCCCCTTGCCCTTCGGGACGGTGTTGGATGACCTTCTGAAGCTGCTTCGGACTCTGTGATTCCACGATCAGTGGTTGTTGGCGCTCCTCACGGGGTCCTTCCGTCCTTTAGTAAGTCCAAATAAAACTCACTGGCTAAACACCTGGGCAACATGTGTTGAGCAAACTGGCTCCCAAAAAGGAATGACGGTGAGACGATTTTCCCTGGCCGCGTGCGCAGTTCCGGCTGAGGCAGGGGTGGCCCGCCGTCGCCTAAAGCGCAGCATTTCAGCCCCCGCTGTGGGGGGTGCGTGGTGGTGCGTGGCCGGCGCTGTCTGCCGCTGACTCCCCTGGTGGTTCAGGAAGGGAACTGGCAGGTGCTGAACAAGGGGAGCCCAGCTGCCCAGAGAGCACTGGGCAGTTAAACCCCTTTTCCGTTTTCCAAAGGAGAAATGCAAAATAGTGTTCCCTGAGTCAGCAGGCAGCCCCCGGCCAGTGTTTTAAAACGTTGCATTAACGTTGATAAAGCGTTCGGAGACGCAGCACTGATCGCATCACACCGTCCTGCCAGGAGCTCTGCCCTCCCTGCGTCCCGTCAGTCAGCTGCCGCCTTTATATTAGTAACTCGCCACACCCTCTGAGAGAAATGAGCCACCTTCTAGATGCACAGGAAGGTAATTGCTGGAATAATAATATTGTCTGTTGCAGTAAGTTTTCTCCTAGTTTTGAGGGATTTTTAAAATAGGAGTGACTATATTCGGTTAGATTTAAGTGTGTAGGTAGATATATCCAACACTTGATTCAGTAAGGTCTCTTCTCATACAAGGCAGCAGAGAAATGCTCTATACGTAAGATGGAAGGAAGTATTATTTCTTCTCATGCCCGTGGGTTCATTCCAGGGATATCGCCGTGGGTTGGCACCCAGGGGCGTCATAGAACCCTGCGTGAACACACCCCAATACATTGTGCTTTGCTCATTGTCCTGGGTTTTCCCCCCAGCTGTGGTTTATTTTTAGAAATAATGCACTCACAGTAAGCTTTTTTAAATGTTAGAAAAGTGCACCCTTATCGTTGGTAAGATTTCTGTTTAACTCTTTCCGCTACCTTCAGTGTGTCCGAGTGTTCGCGTGCATCTGCGGGCTGCGCTGGTGTGCGTGTGTGTCCACGTGCTACACGCGGATCAGTTGGATGTGTAGTTTCCTATCCATCTTTCCCGTTCAACACGGTGTCATGATAAATTCTCCCTGTCATTGAAGTATTTTTGTGAAAACAGCTTATTCTTAAAATAGGCACCTAAGATCCGTCATATGGGAATACGCTATTTAATCATTTCCGATGGCTGGTGAGTGGGACTATTTCTAATGGTTAAAAAGTGTGTAAGACCTCAAGCCTGACGTCCATATCCTTTGACGGAACTCACCGATTGCATGCTTCGAACCCAGGAGCGGGGCCGTGGAAGTTAGGAGGTCGGTGGTCGCGGGCACGTTTCCGGTTCCCACGGGCGGTGCCGAGTGCGTCTCCAGAAACGCTGCAGCGTCCGTCTCATCAGTAGGAACGGGGCTGCCCGTGTCCGAGGGAGCTGCCTGGCGTCAGTCCCAGCGCCGCGTTCCCGTGGCTGGTCCTCGCCCGTTTGCTAAAGGAGGTTATTTCGGTCATCAGTATCCTTTGAATTCTTAAGCAAATCCTATCACTTCTCACTTACTTACAGTTTCTGCTGTGAGAGATGAATGGAGAACGTTCGCAGTAATTAACTTTTAATATATTCGCCTTGTGTCTTGCAACCTTGCTGTAATCGCTTACCATTTCCAGGACGCTGCTGTAAACTCTTTCATATTTTCTACGTATGTGACCACGTCGTCTGTGAGCAAGGACAGTTCGGTATCTTTCTTCTCAATCTGGGTACCTTCCCTGACTTTTTCGCCTGGTTTCGCCGGCAGGGCCTGGGCACGTTGCCCAGCGGGGGGCGGGGCCGACCTTGCCCACCACCTCCTTGCGGAGGTGAGCTGGGGTTTCCCTCCGGGGCGTGTCGTGGCCGCTGTAGCTCTCTGGCACACAGGGTTTATCGAGCTGGGGAAGTCCCCTGTGTCCCTAGTTTACTGACGGTTTTGTCATGAATGGGTGTCGGATTCTGTCTTACTTTTCGGCACCCACTGATACTATCATGCGATTCTTCTTTTGCAGCCTATTGGTGCGATGGCTTGCATTGATTCATTTTTGACTGTTGAATTAGCCTCAGGTACCTGGGATGAATCCCGTCTGCCCGTGGCATAGAGTTCTTTTTATATTTTTGCATATATTTTGGGGATTTAACTTGCTAATGTCTTCGTGAGGATATTTGCATGTGTGTCCACGAGAGATGGTGGCCTGCGGCCCTCTCCCTGTATTGTCTGTCTGGGTTTGGTGCCGAGGTGATGCTGGCCCCGGAGAACCAGTTAGGACGCACCCAATTCTGCTTCTGTCTCCAGAAACAAATCGCAGAGAACGGGTAGCAAGGTCAGGATTTCACTTACGTATGTGCTTTACCGACAAGGCCTCTGTGTGAAAAGAGATCGGCATCTGTCTCATCTGCCCTCTTCACAGTGCTGCCTCGCCAGTGCACAGGCTGCAGCAGAAGCGGGTTTCCAGTCGTGAGGACGCAGAGCACAGAGCTTATTACCCTTGTGCTGTCGTTGATTAATCATCGTATCATTTCCCACGCGAACCACTGTGACCCTACTCTGCTCCACCCCGTGTGATAACTTACGTCCGAGGGGCTCCACACCCTCTGTGCCCACTCCGTGACCTCAGGAAAGTCACGTGGTCTCCTAGACCCAGGCCTTGGGGCGCCTCAGAAGTCCAAGAACTGGAGCCGGAGACCTGCGAGGCCCTGCCTGGTTCTGAAGGTGGGACCCGGGCTTGGTCTCAGCTCACAAATCCATCGTGTCACTCGAGAAGACACATTTGTGGGCCCGTCTGGTGACAGGTGCGGAAAGGAAAAATGAGGTTTCCGAGGCTACTGCCCTCCAGATCACACCCGTGTGGTCGCACATATGTGCAAACTTGTGGAAGATAGCCGTGCTGTGTGTTTCCAGGCGCTGGGCTTAAATTGTCACTCAGCTGCGGGACCCGAGTCCTTTGAGTTTGCGCTGTGCGTAAAACATCGCCCGCCCTCCCTCCGAAAGGGGACAGTGAGCTCTGTCTGCGAGCCAAACCGTCCTGAGGCCGTGCGGGAACCAGCAGGCCCCCCTCTGCCATCCAGCCCTGCAGCCTCCTCCTTATCCACAGGCGCTGGCGATCTCCATCCACTCAAGGTTACCGCGTGACAGTCTGAAGTGTGTGAGTAAAAGGGAATGGATTGAACAAACTGCAAAGACCGGAGCCAAGGGCGGGGAGTGCCGCCCCTGAAGGCAGAAGGGCGGCATGGTTAAGCACTTCCCATAGAATCACATGGCGAGGGAGCTGGGCATTGCCAGATGTCGGACTCAGGAGTAGCAATACCCAGCCTCACACCCACGGGAGCGCCAAGCCGGCGTGACACCTGCGGTTTCCCCCCGACCAGCATGGGCATCTGGGGCTCCATCTGACATGGGGTCCTCCTCCCCACGGGGCAAGTGCAGCTTCCTTACAGTATGACTGTTCTGACGATTTAAAAATGCGCAACGTGAAAACATACAAGATACAAACATCATCCTTACCACGATCTCATCCGGCAAAGCGTACACACGCCGCCCCCACCCTCCCCTGCTTCTAGGGTGGCTGGTGCTCCCAGCGCGCCGTGCTGTTTTCCGCCTGGATTCATCATCCCCCCTTTGCAAGGCCGAGGACGAACCGGGTTTCCGTCGTCACAGCGCAGCCTTCCGCGGGCGGGTTGTGCAGCCCCGCTCCCCGCAGGGCACTGAATTACAGGGCAGCATTGCCCTGTAATGCACCCCCCCGGCTCTTCCAGTGAAGACATATGGT